TCCGTAACACTTAAACAAGTCCACTCTGTTAATGCCGGGTCACTAGGGACCCATCAAGACCTCTCTCCTGACCATTAGACCCTTTGATGGAGTGGACGATAAACTTCCCAGGACAGCTCGGACACTGGACTTGAACGTGGCTGCAGGACGAGGCCTGCCTGGGATGGCACAGATGGCTGCTGACTGCCCCCCTGCCCCGGTGGGGGGGGTGACTATATGTCTCGGGACTGGAGATTAGGCAGAGCCAAAGCAAAGCCACGTGGCTGGCACAGGCCCCCTGGAAATCACGGCTGCAAACGCAGCCAAATTCCAGAGGCTGCCGGCTCCCCCCCCCCAAACAACTGCCTTTGCCGTAGCAATCTCCGTTCCCCCAGCTACAGCCAGATCCAAGGCCGGGCATTTGGGTATCTTTTGGCTACTGTTGCTTCTATTCTCCGTGAAGGGAGGAGGAGGAAGGCAAAGTCTTTCTCTTTCAGAGGAAAAAATAATAATAAATCTGAGACCCATCAACTGGTTTGGGGGACACGATAATGTCAAGGCAGTCCCTAAGAGAGAATTAGTTAAAATGTTAAAATACTAATTGTTACAATTACAAAAGGTGACGTTTATAGCAGTCGGCACAACAGAACAAATACAATACTCTAATTAGTCCAAAATAATAAAAAAGCAGCAGGGACTACCTGACCGTTTTGGTGTTTTAATCCATGTACTGATATATTAGTATTTGCACAGATTCTTCCCAGGTGCTCACTAAGATTTGCTGTTTCAATTTTTCCACAAGCCAAAAGGATGCTACTTTTTTTTTTCAGAGTACTTGCTTGAATTATCAAGCTTTTATCCTAGTTTTACCACCTTGCCTCCTCCTCTCTGGAGAATTGACTGATTCTGTGTTAAAACAGGAAATGACACCAAATTTTGCAGAGACCACACTAGGAGAAATTGTCATTTCTTGCAAAGCTCTTCTGAAACATTTTCCCTCAAAGTAATGAATATTACATTGATTTGCAACGAATATTTAAGTAATTAGCAGAAACAGTCACTAATAAATGGCTAAGGAATTTGGCAAAATTCACTGGAAAATGAAGCTGGCCTTTATTTAAAATATTTCATGAATAAATAGCTGCAGGATATTTTTTTTACCTAGCATGTAACTAATGGTGGCACGGCAAAAGAAAATGTCAGAATAATTCTGATTATTTAAACATCCCTCTCCCAGTCAAACCTGAAGAGCTTTTGACTGAAGAAACAGCCGTGTCCTCACTAAGGCAGCTTGTAACCTTTCCAACTTGTTCAAATTTAGGCTGTTTTAAATGAGCCACTTTCAGCGTGACACAATGGTGCCTCTCCCCCCTTTTGTGTGCTGAATGCACCGTGGTTACTCAGCGATGACAAGGAAATGGCATTTCCCCAGAATTCAAAACATGCAATATTTTGTTACTGGGAAAATGTTAACACCTCTTCCTCCCCCACCCCAAACCCAGCACACCCTATTGCAACGCTCTGGTCAGCTGTATGACAGTCACATTTGTGACAAGCCCCCCACCCCACAAAAAACCCCATTCCTGTCTCATTTAGTGATTCTCCCCCTCCCAATTTACATTGGGTTAGTTGCGCTTCGTAGCCCTTGGAATCAACGGTGCTGTAAATTGTGGTCAACTTATCCCCCACTTTTCAATGAGACCAAAGTTCATCTAACTCAGCCTCGATCCAAATCATTATTTTCCGCATTTTCGCCAGAGCTCCCTCCTCCTAAGCCACGGGTCAAGTTGCAATGACGAAAACAAGCAGAAAACCGCTGGACACCAGCAAGTCTCTCCCCCCCGCCCCCAGTGACAGCAGCCGGGTTTTTCCAAGAATCTTTTGCATTTCCTTGTTTTAAATGCAATATTTCAGAGCCTGGAAGCTGCCTCTCCTCAGCATGGGAACTCTGCCTCGCTGAATGAAAGGAAGAAAGGCTCAACCCCCCCCCCCCCGGTCCACTGAACACTCAGAAACAAACGCACAGGCTGCCGTAACCATGTGCTTGGCAGACGTGTGGGGGTATCACACCGCAAGAGTGTGTGGCTATTAAAGTGCTCGGAAGGGAAGGTGTTGCCTTTCCCTGCCCTGTGGAGAGGGCTGTGGCTTTCCAAGGAATGCACCCCCAGCGGAAAGAAACCTTTCATGCCTGCCATTCAAGTTCCAGCACTTTGCAAAGTGATCTCTCTCACTTTCGCAAATGTCTCGAACCAAGAATCTGGTAATGCCTCTTCGATGGCATCATCACTTCCGACGCTTTTATCCTGCAATGCGAATGATAATCAGGGTGATAGGCAAAGCAAAGCACCCCTTAATCCCGCCCTCTCCCCAGCGAATTGTTCCTCTGGGCTAATGCATTCCCATTCACATGGCTGATGTCTGTCTGTCTCTCTGTGTACCCATGCAGCCTTTTGCAGAGAGAACAGGTGATTAAGAACTTTATCATACGAAAAGGAAACGCCAGAGGCAGGCGGAGCGCGCGCGGGGCGGGGGCGATCAGGAACAGAAAGAACAAACGCAGCCCCACTAGATCGGAAGTCCCTTTTGTAAAGTCATCTCTTTGTAGGGTAAAATCCGGCAACCTCAGCGATCCAACAAGCTGTGACTCTGCAACAGGACCCCCCCCCAAAAAAAAACAACCTCTCCCGCTTTTGTACATTGCAGTTCCCTATGATGTCCAAGGAACTGCACAGCAGGAGATAATACAGATAAATCTTTACGTCGAGCAATCATTAACAGAGTACAAAGTTGCTACTACTGTACTTGTCACTGTTTAGAGAGGTGGTTTTTTTGCCTAAAAGCACATTCTACACCTTGAAATATACCTTGGCATAACAAACCTGAAGGATTCATTTACAGCAAATAATGGAATTTTTCTCTTCTCAGAGTAAAAATATAAAATATATATTGCCGGGTTTTCTTAAGTGCATTACTATTTAAAATGTTCATAATTTGCCTCCTCTCCAAAATGAAAGTGACTTCAATATATACCCCCATACAGATATATAAAATCTGTGCACTGTGTCCCCCTGCAGATGTGCCAGGCAGATAGACAGAATTTGTCCAAGTGGCACAGGGCAGGTGGCACTTACAAATGCCCTCATCCTGCAGCCCCGTTTCAGGCCCCTGGAACAAGCTTCAAGCCAAAGCACCTTCTTGAACTCTGGGAACTTTGTGGCAGGGATCAGGTACAGAGGATAAATAGTACAATGGGGTTGTGTACATTCGAGTTCATTTCTGGAAGTGGCTTTTTTCTGAGATTCGTGGAAACTGGGCATTTTCTGTTTTGTTTCATTGCTTGTCACATCTCTTTCGCTCCCAACATAATGCACTTTGAGTGCTCTGATAGCACATAGAACACTGCCAAACCAATGCAAGAAAAACTCTCTTTGCAACCTGAGTGAATTTCGGAAAGGCTTTTAGTCACACTTACACATACAACTGCACCAGGTTCTGCAAGGTGACACTAGACAATCATTTAAGATAGCCTTTCCCAACCTGGTTCCTTCCAGAGATTTTGGACTACAAAGTCCAGCACCCCAAAACAGAATGACCATATGATGCTGGGTTGGGGAAAGTTGCTTTCAGGCACCCTGGAGTAGGTAATGTCCGACTGCTTAAATGTCAGGCATGGAAAAAGCTACGTCTGAGTTTAGAAATAACACAGAGAAAAGTAATATTACTTTCTCTAATGAAGAAAAGTGGAAAGCCTAAACATTGCATAAATGCATTTTTAAGAACCTTATTTGGGAAAGTGACAAAGGGCTGCCCTCCTAGCAAAGATTATTATTATTAAATAAACCTGCTCAAAGAGGCATTTCTCCAGCCTGCATCCAGCAGCAGCCCTGAGCCCCCAATGGTCTTTCTTGCCACACCCAGCACTGCTCTAAATATCCTTCTCCGCAAAGCTTTCAAGGGTTTACAAAACCACTGCAAAGCACATCCCAGGTTTCTTGGTCCTCTGCCATCGTCCTGAGGCAGATTAAGGCACTCTGTAGCTTCTAAGTGCTAGTGAAACACTCATTTGCTAATTGAGATGGGATTCCTTGAAGATCATCCATTGTTTCACATGGTTAGAAAAGAAAAAGATGAGTACTTTTAATTATAGGCCTAGTCAAGGTTTTCCTATATGCTGTGGATAAATCTAGCTTGGAAAATACTCAGCCCTTTACAGAATTCTCCTACAAATGCACGAGTGAGCCTCGATTTGCTTCCTAAATATCCAGCTCATACAAATACGTATGATTCAAACGGCTGTGACATGGCTGTAAACAGAAATGAATTCCACTTTTCAAAGCCCTTGCAAGTGTGAGGCACAAGCAGATCCGAGTGACCTTGCACCACCCCCGCCTTAGCGCACGCGCTCCATTAACCCCCTGTCTGCTGAGAGCTGGAAGCAGAAATTAAGGACCCCACTGGGTGATTGATGCACTTCAGAGTAAAGCGCCATCACAGGCAGCCTCAAGGCAGCCTCTCCTCACGAACAACATCACAAGACCAGAGGACATGGTCTTTGGCTACTATGGTATAACAGGAGCTCTTCCTTAGAATGTTCGGACTCTGAGAAATCTGTAACTGACTGATTCAGGAGGTCTAGTTTTTACATCTGGGAAATGGACAGCAAACCAAGCATCTCAGAGTTTCCCAGAGTACCTCTCATGTATTCCAGAGGTTAGGGATGGAGGAGGATTCTGGGGGGAAAGACTCATTACTGGGAAGGGTGGCAACAAAGAGGTGCTGTAGGGCCAGATTGTGCTCAACTGCCTCCTGGGTTTTCTGGGACAGAGCAAGCTCTCCTCAGTCGAGCTGATATGCTGCCTTGTGGCAAGTGTTTGGGATTAAAACTAACAAAGATGGCTGCAAAGCAAAGCTGTAGCCAGGCCTGTATCTTTACCCGGCTGACTGGGAGCAGAAGCAGCTGAAGGGAAGGAAATGCAGGCAGGCAAGAGGGAGTTAAGTAAATAATTTTTTTTCCTTTTCTTTGTCGATATGTTTAGTTCTCTTCCTGCCAAGACTCATTTCACTCTGCTATCTTGTGAGAGACACATATGGTGCGGTGAAATTGCCATCCGAGAAAGCATGCCCCAGCCTGTTGAGACATCATCAAATAAGATTAAAGCAAAGCAAAAATAAAAAGATAGAACGATTCCCCCTCCCTTTTTTTTTTCTTTTTTGCAGCAAACATCTGATGAAAGTCAGTAAGGTACTTGAATGCTTCTAAAGGTTTTGTGGCTATTTCTTTACTTTGCCTGGTTAACAAAAAGGCAGAACAGGACTGGCCAATCTCCCCCTTTTACTTCTTCAAGTTAACAAAAAAAGTCCTTAATAGTATTGCTTTCAATTCTCTTCTGATAAATAGCACTTAAATGCACCAAAAACAGCTCTATTTCTCTATCGCTCCCTTCCTTTCCCGCTTCTGTCTTGGAGTATAATGTGGAAAGCCTTTGGGTGCCAGTGTGCCATCCTCTCTCTGCAAAAGACAGCACCAGTTTTTAAAGGCTTTTTTTTTAAGGCTATGGCTGTAATATCTGCTCTAGAAAATAGAAATTGCCTTCCCTCTGGGAACAGGCACATCATAACATGGAATCATAAAAAGCTGAGAAAAGCCGCCCATTTCTCAGATGAGAAGATAAGAAATTTGTTTGGAATGCTTACATTTAGATCCATTTAATAGCCACTCCTCATTTGGCACCATTCTCAGGCCAAGGCACGAAAGGGAAAAGACTTGGATGTTTTCATGGCAGAAGAGTCATTTCCTGTGCTCCCACTTCTTCCAAAATGGAAACCTTGTTTCTGGGCACCTGAATTTCACTCACTTTGTCAGTCAATTACTTAAGGCTCTCCTTCTCTGGCTGGGCTGTTCCATGTTGAGGAGGCCTTCTTGAAATTGTTTTCATTCCTGTTTTTATTGATTGTGTTAAGGACAGTCCAAAGGAGAACAACAGTGAAGCCCACAGTCAGAACTGAAGCTGCCTCTGTAAGGGAGAATAGATGCATGTGGATGGAGCAGATAAGAGCAGGCAGGCAGGAGATGCTGTAGTTGAGTCTGGAGGAACATGAGGGGCTGCCTTAGACCAAGTCAAACAAATAGGTTCATCCAACTCCATGTTGTCTACACTGAAGGGCAGCAGCTCTCCAGGGGTCCAGAGCACCTCATAGGGATTTTAACTTGCTGCAGCTGTAAGGTGTATCAAAATTTTCTATTTTTGCTTTATGGTTAAAGTATATTAATAAATAACAGCCCAGTGATGACAAGCAGGCCAGAAAAAAAAAAACATTAAGACTGCTTAGCAGTGGCGATGTCTGCCAAGTACCAAAGCCTTAGAGCCATCTCCACATTTTGATTTATAACTTCCTTTAGAAATTTCCAATTTACTTATTTCCCTGCCTAAGGAATGCTGAGAGTATGAGCCTCCCTGCTGGCATGGGCCTTGGTACATGTGTACCCCCTTTACTTCCCTGTTGGCAACCCTGGCCTCCACCTTCTCGTGTGAACAGCAAATGATGGAATAATTGTGACTATCAGAACTGAAACAACACAGGGGTACAGGTGCTCATGTGCCAATTCCACACACAGAAAATTCAGATAGGAACAAACACATCTAGAAGACCATAAAAACAAATTTCATGGAGCTTAGAGTCAAATGCTTCAATAGCCTTGAGCAAGAATTAGAGGAGAAACCCAAAGAAAGAAAAGCCAGAGGAATATCCCCTGGGCCTAGACCCATGGATATGTAACAGGGGCTCGTGTGATATCATCACAACATTAACTTCTCTCCCTCCGGACCATACCTGAAGTTGAGACTCAAAATACAAGTTATCTTCAGTTACTTCCAAGGGCCTAGTGTGGAGCTCTCCACCGGTGGGACTTTTGCCTGCCTGCCATCCATTTTTCTGCCTTCCTCAGATACGTCCGAAAGTGGGGAGAATATGTGATTATTGTTCTCCAGAGAGGTGGAGGAAAGGTGTTTCAAAAAGTGACTTCATCCCTATGTAAGCAGATGGTTTGTCTGGAGAGAATGAGAATGCAAACCTTACTCACTGGCGCATGCACACAAACACACACATGCCCTTGGAGAGGCTGCTTGTTTTAAGTGGGCCCTTTTGCTTTCTGAATGGAGATGTGTGTTATGTGTTGAAGAAAGCATGATGTACTCACACACCTCCTATTATGAATTACTGCACTTGATAATTATAGCAGGAAAGTGATCATCTGAGCATAGAGTTAATTTCAAAAGCCTCCTGTCAAATGTAGTTGGCTGAAGAGAACATATTTCTCATTTCATGGGAAGCCGACGATATAGCTCTTGTTGTTTCAGAATTTCATAGTTAATATCTTCAACTTCTCTCGGAAGAGCCTCGCGTTATTTCAATTGCAAATTGAGTGGGGGGGGGGAGAGTGGGAAATAGGTTGTGGTGAAAATGTGTAAAAAGGAAGAAAAGTTGTGCTGAACTTGAAGGAAAGAAACCCTAAAACTACCCATCTGTTTTCACAGTGATGTGATTATGATAGAGCCAAGTCACATCCACCTGGCTGCCCCATGCAATGGTTAGGATTTGGTTGTGGACAGTGCTTTTTTCTGGGGGGGGGCGCAGGGGTACGCATACCCCTAAACATTTTATGAATCTTTGTACTTTTGTCCATTTACTGTATTTATTTTTTCTGATTTGAACTATAAAATGGTGATTTTCTTGAGTCAAAATGAGACTATCCCTAAACATTTTTTTTAGAAAAAAAGCACTGGTTGTGGATATCCCCACACTAAAAAGAAAACATCAATTTGCACTGAATCTAAATTTTTGTTTGTTTTTTAATCTGAATCTAATTTTTTGGCTCAGTCCCAAACATTTGGGTTTTGTATCATGGATGCTTTGAATTTTTTGACCCACAAATAGGTTTTTGTATTGAAAAAGGTGTTTGGTGCTTTCTCCCTAACTATTACGAGGCGGCCCTGTTTAGGAAAGTTTTTAATGTCTGATGCTGTATTATTTTTAATATTTGGTTGGAAGCCGCCCAGAGTGGCTGGGGAAACACAGCCAGATGGGCGGGGTATAAATAATAAATTATTATTATTATTATTATTATTATTATTATTATTATTATTATTATTATTACCAGCTGTGCCACTCGGAGGCCCACCCAATCCACCTCCAGGCCACTGTCTCCAGCTCCCGTCGCTCGGTCCCAGCGCCTGCCAACCTAGCAGTTCGAAAGCACCCCCAGGTGCAAGTAGATAAATAGGGACCGCTTACCAGCGGGAAGGTAAACGGCGTTCCGTGTGCTGCGCTGGCTTGCCAGATGCAGCTTGTCACGCTGGCCACGTGACCCGGAAGTGTCTGCGGACAGCGCTGGCTCCCGGCCTATAGAGTGAGATGAGCGCACAACCCCAGAGTCTGTCAAGACTGGCCCGTACGGGCAGGGGTACCTTTACCTTTTTACCTCTCAGGCAAGGCAATCTCCTTCAGTGAAGTGGGGTGAAGGAGAAGGTTTGCTGGACAACAGCAAAGGATAAAATGTTTGGTGGAGGGTGGAGGCCAATGCAAAGGGGGCTGGGGGAAAATAGAGCTATCTAAAATATGAACCTGTTGTAGGCTAAATCCACCTAAATGTCACATGTACAAATCAGACCAATAGTCCCTTCAAGTGTCACAGGGGTGAGGGTGGGCAGGCAGGAGGGAATCTAACCCAGGTGGTTCTGTGGTTTGGGAACAGAGTTAGGGAGAATATATGCTGCTGATTAAGTTCCAAAAAATGGGGAGGGAAGCATAGCAAAAATATAAATCTATCACTATGGGCAGTAAATGGAAAGGGGTGCGTCAGAAAGGGGGGTGGTAGCAGAAGCAGCCTGCCACCAGGAAAAGGTGAAGGAGATGAAGGGGGGTGGAGAAAGAAAGAAAGCCGACCTCTGGCGCAATAATGGGGTGCAAACGTCTAAATCTCTCACATTTTATGGGCAACTTCTAATGCTTCTACCCCCTGCCATTATGACATTTCCACTGGCTCTGATCTTTATTTTCAGTTTTATTGCCCACTGAGTAACAGGTTTCTCCAAGAGTGAAAGAAAGAAAGCAGACTCCTCTAGGAAGCTGGGCAGTTGGAACTCAGGCAGCTCCCATCTCCGTCCTCTTGCTGGAGGGACAATTTCCCAGGCTCCATGTGGAACTCCAGCTAGGATCAGGCCCAAACAACCCTTGAGAGGGACAAGGCCAGGTCTTCAAGTACAGGTTGAAAGCAGGTGTGTATGTGTTGGGTGGGAGAGTGCTGTTTAAAGTGCCAGGGGGTGGGGGTTCAGATCCATACTTTCATCTCATGCCTTTCTGTCCCCAGTCCTGCTCTCTGGGAACTTTTCTCCCAGCTAGACCAACTTCCGGTATTTCAGCTGTGATGCAAAGGGCCATGGGGTCAAAGTGCTGTGAGCAGCAGAGAGGGCACTTTGAGCCCCATTTGAGAGAGGACAGAGCAGCGGGCCTCTCTCCCATGCTGTTTGGCCCTCTGTGATACCTTTGCCCTTGCCCTGTGTCTGTGTATGCTACAAGGAAGCCAGAGTGGCTGAGGGGGCACAATGCAGCCAAAGAGAATAGCTCTCAGGACCCACTCATTTTAATCAGAGAAAGAAGTTCATGCACCTTCAGTGCATCACCATGTGTTACTTGTACAAGCCACCATGTGATCCTGGGAGCCTTAAAGCAGTTATTCCTTCAGTCAGAGTTTGTGATGCAAATCTAAACCCTGAAACTGGCCAGAATGCTCATCTGCATTACAAATGGCTGTCTTGTGCTTTCCTTTCTCTTTTTTAAGCACTATACAGAAGGAAGGAAGGAAGGAAGGAAGGAAGGAAGGAAGGAAGGAAGGAAGGAAGGAGGGAGGGAGGAAGCTTAAAAGTGATCTGAAATGCTCAAAAATGTGGAGAAAGAGTCAAGAATCTCTGTGGCCACAGCTGTCCCTCCTGCAGGAGGGGCTAGGAGGAGCAACGGTGCAAAAGTTGCCTCACTGGATAGACATCTGGATCCCATTAGCTTACAAACCAGAGCATCCGCAAACTTGTCAGCTGAAACCCACAACAAAGCCTGGGGAGGCGATTTGCCTTCTGACAGGAACCCGGCTGCTCTGTTTTACAAGGCAAATATTATCTGTTCTCATTTCCAGGGCGCCACATTATTAAAAGCTGGATGTAATCTAAGAAATTAAAAAGGGCTTGTTTCATTTGACATTTCATCTCTTGAATTCCCCAGAGAAAGAAAAGCCCAATATGAGCCTGGGTCTTGCTTGTCAAGAATTGTCTTTTCACTTGTGAATCTGTTCTCCTCTGACCTGCCTTGTCTGGCAGCCAATCGCAGCGCAGGGAAATGCACCTCCCTGTGGCTTGCGAGCCACACCCTCCCAGGGGCTGCAGCAGGAGGGAGCCTCTGCTCGCCACCCAAAGGGAAGAGGGCTTTTGTTTTGTTTTTACATATAGGATATAGATTGCTTGCCTGCCAGGACACACTGTGCAGTGGGCCAAATTCAAGCTAGAAATAGTTATGAGCATCCATAACTACGCTTCTGGATCAGGATGAAGCGCCTTCTTTCCAATGAGGCACCTGGAAGATCACAAGCCTGTTTGTCACCAGCATCTGGTATTCACAGATAGACTGTCTCTGGACACGGAAGACCGTCCATGAAAAGCTTATTATTGGCTGCTCCCATCGGATTATTCCTGAACCCTGAACCAAACTGGCTTGTGTGCTATCTTGAAGTCCCACAAGTCGGGGCAAGGCTGCCAGATTATGCACCCCTCCCAGTCCCTTGCACCCTTGGAGCCCCACTGGGCACTCCTCTTGCACTTCTAACAGCTGCAATGGCACATGCTAGCAACTGGGTTTCTCCAACGAGTTACCCAGAGGAGCCTGCATGCCTCGGCCAGCGCCCAGGATCTGTGGAGGAATCGCCTCGGGAGCATGCAGATGGGCAGGCTCCCAGCTACTCTAAGCCAGA